ACCTAACTACACTCTTTAAAGTAAAATACTCAGTTCAGTAGCCTAAATACGCACTTAAAAGTAAAATACTTAGTTTAGTAGCCTAAATAGACATTTGAAAATAAAATACATTTTCAGTGACCTAACTACACTCTTTAAAGTAAAATACTCAGTTCAGTAGCCTAAATAGACACTTCAAAGTAAAATACTTAGTTCAGTAGCCTAAATAGACATTTGAAAATAAAATACATTGTTCAGTGACCTAACTACACTCTTTAAAGTAAAATACTCTGTTCAGTAACCTAAATTCCCACTTAAAAGTAAAATACTTATTTCAGTGACATAAACACACATTTAAAAGTAAAATAGTTAGTTCGATTACCTAAATACAACACTTGAAGTTAAAATCCTTACACTGAAGGGCCAACTATGCTTGAAAGTAGTCTACTTTGTTAAATAACCCGAATAAGCACTTGAAATTAAATACTTAGTATAGAGACCTGAATACTACATTCAAAAGTAAAATAATTAGTTCAGTGAACTGAATAGTACACTTGAAAGTAAAATACTCATATTGTCATAAACGTCGGAACCAGTTAGCACGTGCCTCAGTAATTAAATTGAGCCCCCCTAATATATTGTTGACAAGAATTTTGTATTAACTACTTCTCTGTGCAGTCGGCATGTATAAAACACATTTTGAAAGACTTGCTATATTACAAATATGGAAGATGAAGGAAACGTGTAAAAATACGATTTTGTTGTAAACAGCAAACAATTTAATTTGTGCTTTGTTATTGTATGAAATTGCTAATTAATATCTTAAAACGTTTTTGTTTCACTCTAAGGTAATTTATATTAATTTACGACGTCTCCCCCCTCCCCACCAATGTTTTGTACGTTCCGACGTGTCTGCTTGACGTAACAACTACAGCTGTAACCAAAATATTTAATTTAATGACCTGAAAACTGTGCTTGACAATAAAACATTTGGTTCAATAACTTGAATAATGTACTTGCAAGGAAATTGTAATTTAAAATCGTGAACGTTACATTTGCAAGTAAATTTCTAATTTCTTTGACATGAATATACACTTACAAGTAAATACTTAGTTTGATGACGTGACTATACACTTACAAGTAAAATTCTTATCTCTTTAACGTGACAAGTATACTTGGAAGTAAAGTATATATCAAACTAAGTATTTTACTTGCTAATGCACTATTCATATCATTGAACTGACGTGACTTTATATTTAGAAGTAAAATATTTATTTTAGTAAAGATATGTGATTTTTCAGAAGTATTTTCATTCTTACATCATTTACATGGTAAAATGAAATATACAAGAAATTTCGAAAAGTGTTTACCAAGTTACCAAAAAAAAATTTAAGAATAAAAATTTTATAATATAATTTTTAGATAATTAAAGATATATTTAATGAAATAATATCTCTACATTTTCCTATTTTGTATATGTTTGATAAGGAGTGTAGCCAAAGGCATAAAAGAAAGCTTAACATTTTTACGGAGAAAAGAAATTAATCACGAAAATTGGAAATCTTTCAGAAAAATCTGCACTTAAATCCTTACAGTGCCTTTTGCTCTAATTGCATTTCTTTGTCTTCTGTTTTAGTCCACCATAAGAGATCAGTTTCCTTATTTTCGACGTTTACAGTAGCAAAAAATAATGTTTTGACCTCTAACCGTTTTGGCCATTGGGAGTTTAACATAATACTTTTCACAGATAATGATGACATTTCGAAAGACATTTCTTATTATCGAGCTAGAAATGTCTGCTTATCTGGCTAAACAAAACAAACTGGTTAAAATAGAATACAAATATTTATCAAACATTTCATATGTGTTTATATTTCTGGTAGCATTATTGAATTCTATGTGAGCAAGGAGAATGCAACATTGCAACCGTTATAACGTTTAGTAACAAAAAAGTATTAACAGCATGTGTATATACGTGTGTGTATACAATAACATACTTTGTAACGTTCGTCGTCTCCGAGAAAAAACACAACAAAATGATAATTAATTAATGAAACGATTTACTTCAAAAGATATATTTTTCTTCTTCATGTTGAACAACTGGATTGAAAAATATTTTAAGTTTCAATTAAAGAAACGAGTCACTTCGGAAGATAGACCTGTCTTCTTCATGTTGAACAACTGGATTGAAACATATTTTAAATTTCAATTAAAGAAACGAGTCAATTCAGAAGATAGACCTGTCTTCTTCATGTTGAACAACTGGATTGAAACATATTGTAAATTTCAATTAAAGAAACGAGTCAGTTCAGAAGATAGACCTGTCTTCTTCATGTTAAACAACTGGATTGAAACATATGATACGTTGTAATTAAAGAAACGAGTCAATTCACAAGATAGACCTGTCTTCTTCATGTTGAACAACTGTATTGAAACATATGATACGTTGTAATTAAAGAAACGAGTCAATTCGGAAGACAGACCTGTTTTATGCAGGTTTGAATAGTTAACAGTCATATTGATACAATAGAGATTAAATGGATGAGTAGTACGTGCTATCATCCTTCCCCTCCTCCTCTTTTCCTCTTTTTGAGATAACATAATACGTTATAATTATACGATAATTATATAGCTTTAATAGCTGTTGACATATTTATTAAATTCATATAATTTTAAACATGCTGGATCTCGTAAGCTCTACTAAGATGGAAACTCGAGAGAGCAGTGTTTTGATTAACAAGTAATGACAATGTCATTTACATGTACATGAAACATACATTTTACTATCAGTTAACAAACTAAAAAAACATCTTATCTTTTCACTGTTGTATTCAAATGTTTTTTATCAAAAAACTAAACGCATGAAAAACCTTGGAGATATTTGGCATTAGGGACAATGTTCTTAACTACAGAATATGAGAATACCAACTCATTCTTACAGTGCACGTGAAGAACCACCCGTCTACTAATAGAAGGTTGTACTCCATTGGAAGCGATACACAGGTAAGCACCCATGTGTAGTCTACTGACCTTGGTCACCTTTAAACTTTCCCCCGTGTGCGAGATGTCTGAAAAAAACACGGTAAATCGTTTAACATGTCTGAAAAAAGCATGGTAATCATGCAACATGTCTGAAAAAACAATGGTAAATCGTTGAAAATGTCTGAAAAAAGCATGGTAATCATGCAACATGTCTGAAAAAAAGCATGGTAAATCGTTGAACATGTCTGAAAAAATCGTGGTAAATCGTTGAACATGTCTGAAAAAAGCATGGTAATCATTAAACTCAAAGAGCTATGCTGCCATTCAACAAATTTCAACCTTAATCTACTTCTACAAGCTGGTGAACTCTGGCTTTTATATAGAAGATTCAGATCAAACAAAGTGCCCACTCTAGCTTTCCTGAAATAGAATGAACATTATTAGAATATAGCTTCCGTTGTGGTTCATTTCTTAATGTAAGAAAGGCTTTTTCCTGTTGTCCTGGTTTAATCACTTCATTTTTATATGCATATGTTCTTGTATATTTCCATGAGACTTACTTATGAAAAAAAAAAAAACCTGCCAAATGATTAGTGACAACAGCCAGTAATAAGCAAAACAAATAGCCAGAATAGCCAGAAAAACAAAGATATATTATTATTCATTGTAACCAGAAATGAGCTAAAAGCAAATGAGTAATCACCAAAGCAAGGAAAAATTAAACAAATAGTCATACTGTGTTTAACAGTTAGAAAAGTTATTGACAAAAACACAATAAGTGGAACAAACTATCAGAGAAGACCAATTTCGACATATTCGTGCGTTCTCTGCATTATCACGTTATCTTCTGGCAGGAAAATTTTCCTTTAAAGATATAGATGGTCAGAAAATTGCTTAGTCTGAAGTAACTTTGGGAGGTGTTGAAGTTAAGTAAGCTTTTGATAAAGCAGTTTTCAACAATTCTTACTTTTCATGGCCAGGTGGTTAGGGCGCTCGACTCCCAACCTGAGGGTCGCGGGTTCGAACCTCCGTCACACCAAACATGCCCGCCCCTTTCAGCCGTGGGGGCGTTAAAAATGTGGCGGTCAATCCCACTATTCGTTGGTAAAAGAGTAGCCCAAGAGTTGGCAGTGGGTGGTGATGACTAGCTGCCTTCCCTCTAGTCTTACACTGCCAAATTAGGGACGGCTAGCGCAGGTAGCCCTCGTGTAGCTTTGCGCGAAATTAAAAAAAAACAAAAATAAACTTTTCATGTAGTTACCTGTTTGTTTTTTTTATATTGTTGATTTCCAATAAATCTGTGGGGCAGACTTTCTCATGTGAAGAAAAACAGCACTGTTTGTATGCCCATATTTAATGTCTTTATCATATTTAGAAATTTTCTTTTCAACACTTCTTCCAATTTTACGTACATAACCTTTTTCACACGATTAACATGGACGAACTTATAAAGGCTGCCGCTTACTTCGGTCATTTTCAAATGACTTAGGGTATTGTAATCCCATAATTCCTTAGAGACTGACCACAATCCGACCGCTCTCTCTCTCTTCTTTCAACCCCAACCGATCTTCTTTATACTTAATTTTATAAAAACTAGCACAATTTTCTTCGCGGTTTTATGTGCAGGTAACGTACTAGAGGAACTTTCGCAAGGTTTCCGAAAGTGTTCAGTTTCAAGAGTAATTAAACCTAAAATTAAGAGTAACAAATATTTTTATTTCTTGCCTATGAAGTTCATACGTCATGCTGTGTTGTAGC